ACCTTCTGTATAGAATTATTTCTAAAGTGATCCAATCATTTAAATTCATTCGTTTAAATTTAATTTATGAATCAAAGATCTGTTGCATTTTAGTTGTTTGAGATATTTTCTGCGAGTCAATTATTTTATTTGTGATTAAATAACAATATTATGAAATTGGACCGGTTTGAATTCTTAATCAGTTTTTCCGATTTTCTTTTCTCCGTAAATCATTTTCGATTTATTTATGTAAAATTACTTTTTTACACTACACTGTGAATCTAGACTAAGTGTCATAAAATAGTGAGATCAACTGTAAATTGGAGGTTCTAGGAAAACCAGACATGTGTTGATATTTGGACAGTAGATATAATTATGACTATAATTCTGAGTCAAAACGAAACTAGACTAAATACCTAATAAGTAAGGAACCCAGATTACGCGCTCGCAATAATTTCAGCTCCTATTTCGTCAGCTTGCTTCTAAAAGGAATTGTTATACTTTTCCTTTATGCATGATAAAAAGAGAAACAAATTGACACCTTAATGTATGTTTTAAATTGTGTATATATATCTATTTTAATTATTTTAATTACAATTAAAATACCAACAATGATAATATGAAAACGTGAAAGGCAAAAATGATAAGTGATGATGATAAAACAATTAGAATAGAAAGTGGTGAACAAGAAGAAGGCAGTGTTAGTGATAAATGATATTTAGATATTTATTTTTGTATTTTTTTTTTTTTACATATTCATAAAATGCGCATCATGCACGTGAAATTTTGAATATTTCTAGGCTGCACCATATTATAAATATTATAAATTAAAAAATATAACCAAATTATATTAATAAATTTTTTTAGGCTTGCTTTGATTCCATTAATTTAATAAGTTCTTTTAAATCTTTTTCAATATTTGTAATCCTATTTGAAATATCAGCATCAGCTTTTTTCATCTCACTAATTTCATTTTGTAATGAATCAGATTTATCTTCAAGCTTCATATTTGATGATGGTAATTCTTCTCCAAATAATAAAAATTCATTATTACTACTATTGTCTTTATTGTTATTAAGAAGATGATTGAATTCAACATCAATAATTCTAAAGGTTTTCAATCCATATTTAAAAGTTCCATCATTACTGTTTGCCACATTAATTTCACTATCCATAAATGATTTTTTATCAACAATCAACTTGTTATTATTATCACCATCACCACCATTGTTATCATTAACACTATCAATTTCATCATCAGAATCATCAATAAATTCATCATATTCAATATCATGTAAATTTAAAATATCTTCAGGTTTAACCAATGCATTAAATTTATTTTCAGCTTTCAATAACCATTTTTCTAAATAATCAACTCTTCCAACATAATAAATGAAACGAGGATTTCCTCTTGTATTACCAAATGGTTTTTCTAATGTCTCATAATCAGATAATAAATCTGCTCTAACTTTTAAAGTTTTTTGTTTTACATTATTGTTGGCATCTTCAAATACACCTCTATAAAACATTTACAGTAATAATCATTATTATTTTGAAAAATATAATTATAATTACTTTGAAATTGATAAATAATTATTTTGTATTTGCATACTTACGTCATGAATGCAATTAATAAATTTTGCATTATTACTACTAATAATATATTTGCAACTAAATTACATAGAAATATTCAATTAGTAAAATAAAAATAAAAATAGATAATCAAATAAAAAATAGAGGCTAGAAATATTATTGTTATTATTTACTCACGTGTAGTCAACACATCAACTGGCCAAAAATTCCAGTTATCTATTTGATCCCATCTACCTGCAGGCCAAAAATAAACAGATTCCACAGATTTAGCAAATGAAACAAAATTGTCATTTTCATTATTCTCAATCACTTTTTTAATGATAATATTTTGTAAAGGGTCATTACTATTATCAAGAAGCATTGAGGCATTACTGTAAATTTTGAAAGTATCAAGATTTGGACCTGTACCAAGTTCAGTTACACCATACTGTAATAATATGAACCTAAAAAAAATATAAATTTATTATTATGAATAATTTAATTTAATTAAAAAAAAAAAAATAAACTTACATTGCATGACCAAACCCAAAAATCACAATCAACATGAAAACCAAAAATGGCCAAATACTTTTTACTATATCAATTATCAAATTGATAAAATGTGCAGGGCGTGAAAAAAATCTTAATAATAATAACTATTGGAAATTTGAAAAAAATTTATTAGTGTTGTTACTATTAATCATAATATTTTATAAAAATAAATAAATAAAGTTTACTTACAAACTCCAACCACAAAATTAATATAATAAATGAATTAGCAACTTTTGCTATTTCAGAAAATTTACCAATATCATATTTATCTGCTAAAAAACTGTATAAATCATCAGCAGAAGGATCCCCAGAATTTATAAACTTTATTGAAACTACATATATTTTCACCCTATAAATATAATTTCCAAGCACTGATGCAAATGGAAACAGAATTGATGCAAGATCAATAAAATTATAAAAATTCAAATATCTTTTGACCTTATCATGCTTAACCTGTACTAATTCTATTGCTAACAAGTAATAACCAAGATAAGCAGTTAAAATGAAACAAGTGGTGTATGGCATTGGATCAAATATAGTATATAAAGACTCCATTGCAGAATACCATTCATCAACAGAGGGATCCCCACCCAAAAAAAGCATAAATGATACCATTAATGCAAATAACAAATAATGGATTAAATGTCTGATATAATACCATCTTGCTGATGAAAATTTGAATTTGATACAAGCTTCCAATGATGGGTTGTCACATATCAATTCATTTCTTTGTTGTCTGAGCATTCTTGAGAATGAACTATGGTCAGATTCATTATTTCTTATAACATGTTTACGTGGCCAAAAAATTAATTTCAATAGTCTTTTGATTAATTTTGTCAAGTGCAATTTTTCATCTTTTATACCATGTGGATATACAAGAAAATCTGGTAGTGGAACAATATGAACACTTGTCAATTTTGCCATCTCATTATTGTCTTCCATATCCTCTATATACTTGTCAAAAAAAAATTCTGATTTTCTAAAAATTCAGTATGGTGTGATAGGGGAAAAACAAATCAAATACAGTTAATAAAAATAACAATAAAGATTATTTTGATAGTTTAAATTTTTTTATTTACCTATAAAATAAATCAAAATGAAATAGTGAAGATTTTTTGGGGACTTTTTGACGTAACCTTGGTTTAGTAGTTAATGGAGTAACACTTTCTTTTTTACCTTTCATTAATTCAAGTGTATCAATAAAACATTGATTTATCATAACTTCTTTTGCTCCAAAGCATGGTTTATACAATAATCTTTTGAGGTAGATATCTTAAATAAAACAAAACAAATAA